CGTTGAAAGAAATCCGTTCGGCGAGAGCTGAGAAAAAGTGGTAAGACACAAAAAAAAAAAAAAAAACACATCATAGTAAAACCAATACATTCTCAGCTTCGCATCGAAGCTAAAATGTCAGTAGACATTTTTATTCACTGAACGCTTCATTGAGATATAAAGTACCTTTGTTAAATGTTCCTTGTTTTAGAGATCCAATTCCTTTGAATGATGGTAAATTTCTTTTATATTCGTCTTTTTCGTCATTGTTACCCATTTCTAGTTTTTTTCGTTCATTTAACAGATTTCTTGCTATTATTAAATAAAAAAATACTTATTAGAAAAAAAATATATATATGATTAAAGTTTTAATTATATTAACTTATAACAAAAAATACGATTCATAATTGCTACGAGATATCACAATTTAAAATTTGTCACCAAAAAAACGTGGTGTTGTTTACTAAATGATAAGATTTATCATATATTATTACTTATGGAGTAGAACTATAACCTGAATCATACGGCTAATGATAATGTACGTCTTTATCATTCCATTCAAGTGTGGACACGTATATGAAGCTACAAGCGAATTAATTAACATGACAATCAAATTACGTTCGTTGCTTCATTTCTTATATTTATGAGCTTGCATTGTGGAATACGATAGACACCGGCCATTTTTATTTTCGTCTTTGTCCAGCCGGCGTATATTATATTTTTTTCACCGCCCCATTTTTTGGTTGGTGAAGTTCTAAAACATATCAATATCTAAGGTAAGACCGTAAGTTTTAATATAACTAATCAGTCAACACCTTTATAACCTTTTAATCAGTATTTTAGTTCTAACGTATATTAAGTTACATTTTAAAATAAAATCTCACTATTTGTGGAGTAGTTTTTCAAATTTTACCTACTAATAACTATCCACGTGACACGGCTTTTCAACAATCCGTTGTCGTTCATCAATTTTATATTACATGTTTATTTGCACGATATTAACAGCATTTCAAATATTCTTCAGAATTGCAATGGGTGATCCAAATACTGAACGTACTTTCATTATGATTAAGCCTGATGGCGTCCAACGAGGACTTGTTGGAAAAATCATTAAAAGATTCGAAACCAAAGGATTTAAACTAGTAGCCATGAAATTCTTATGGGTAAGTAATTAAAAAATCGTCCAAAAGTAGTTTTTATGTACAATAAAACATAAAATTTTTGTATTTTTTATTTTATTAGTAAATAAATATTGATTGATATTTTCTGTTCTCAATCTAATGGATTTCAATCATAGTTCTACTAAAAGTAACATGAATATAATTTTTTGATAAAATTGACTTTATTCTTATTGTATTTTTAGATTATTTTTTGTAAAACCAGTCTAAAAATAGTATTTATAATGTACTAATTCTTATATTTTATGATTATAGTTTTTTATTTTTTATCTTGTGTAGTATACAATATAATTATGTTTATTATATTTATGCTTATAAATACTTAAAATAATAATAATTATAACATTTATAATTATAATTTATTACAAATATGAATACTTAACTTAATGACTTAAAATATTTTTATTATATAATTAATAGATTACTGAAGGGTTTAGTAAAAAATATGATTGATTTTCAGTTAAAGAGAAAAATTTTTTGTATGGTTATTTAAATTAAATATTTTGAACCATATTAATATTAATCCTTTGGAGATAAAAAAAACTTAATTTTATTTTATAAGAATTCCAATTTTAATTTTGATGATTAAAAATATAATTCTAAAAAATTTTCTTATAATTTTTTTTATCTGATGGACTGTTTATTGTTACACCATTTTAATCCAAAAAGTTATACTTTCTTTTCTTTTAAAAATCTAGTTTATTTAAAGTTGCTCCTGAAGGGATGTATAGATATTGCTATTTTAATTTAATTTATTGATCATCTAGCTAAAATACCAAGACATAATTTAATTCATAAAAATAAAGATGATTTTTAAAGATCTTGTTAAAGATGATAACAAGCAACTTTTTGTATTAATGAAATTAATTTAATGAATTAATATTTCTAGTGTATATTTTTTAAGTTCTTAATATTGTTTTTTAGCCATCAGAAGAATTATTGAAAAAACACTATGCTGATTTAGCTGGAAAGCCATTCTTCCCAGGTCTTATCAAATATATGTCATCAGGACCTGTAGTTCCCATGGTTTGTAATTACAGGTCAATGTTCTTTATTTTTTACCACATTAATAAAAATGTTATATTTAGGTTTGGGAAGGATTAGATGCTGTAAAAACAGGTCGTTTTCTTCTAGGTGCAACTAACCCAAAAGACTCTAATCCAGGTACAATTAGAGGAGATTTATGTATTCAAGTTGGCCGGTAATTTTTCATATACATATTAACTATCATATATTTATTTTTACTAATTTTAGTTTATTATTATTTTAGCAACATAATTCATGGATCTGATGCTGTAGAATCTGCTAACAAGGAAATCAATTTGTGGTTTACTGAAAAAGAAGTTACCCCATGGACAAGAACTGTCGATTCTTGGGTTTATGAATAGATAATATTTTAATATTCATTTTGTGTTGTCTTAACCAAATAATTATTTTAAATCCATTTTGAGGTTTTGATATGTTTAAAACATTTTGTAAGAAATAAATGAGAATGCTATTGATTAATTTTGTTTTTTGAACTATTGTTTAAATTAATCTAATATAAGATCGAATTTAGATAGATATTAATAAAAATGTATCCAATAATACTAGGTAAGAGAATATGAAATCAGATTTAAATTTTAAATCTTTTTTTATCTTAAAAATTTTAAGTCAAAAAAAGATTTTATGCAATTTATTATAATTCAGTATTAATTATCAAAATTGCCAGTGTAAAACTATAATTTCAAAATTAAAAATTGAGTGAGTTTAATTGCTCAATTAAAAAAAAAATTCAAAGTGAGTATTTTTGGTCAAGTATATTGTATAATGAAATAAAATTTTTACTGCGAAATTAATTCGTTTTCTTCATTTTACTGGGTTGATCGTCACCAATTCTTTTATTTTTTACTCCAGATAACCAAGAATTCATGAAAACTTCGCTTTTGTTTATTCTATAAAAAAGAAAAGAAAAAATTATATAAAAAATAATTTTAACCAAAAATTATATATTATATATTATAACTAATATATAAGCTATTATCATTTGAGACTGACTTAAAACATAGCTACTATTTCATGTAATAAATTAAATTTATTATTTTAAAATTCTATAATAAGTAAAAAAATGCAAAATGATATTGATAAATAAAAATTTTTTTTTCTGTATCTACAGTAAATTATTTGTTGGAAACAAAATACTAAGTTTTTCCAGATTTCCCTTTATAAGAAAACTAATGTAATTATTTATGTTTTAATTTTGAATAACTCAAATATAAGAAAAGATTTTTTTATAATGAGTACTCTTTTTAAATAATTGCCAGTTATGAAAATCGGTGTGCATTATTTTTAATGTTAATTATTTAAATAAATGTTTGATGACATTTGCTATAGTTTATTTAAAAGTTAATATACTAAAATATTTTATTCTAATTAACATTAATTTTGATGAATAGGATGAAGTGTGAGGTAATTGTAAATACATTTTAGCTTTAATGCAAAGCTGAGAAGGTATTAATTTTACTATGATCTGTTTTTTTTGTGTCTGTAATCACTTTTTCTCAGCTCTCACCAAACCGATTTCTTTCAAAAATACGTTAAAAGATCACAAATCGTATATAGTCAAAGATATTACCCTCGAAAATTGAAAAAATTACTAAGTTTCCCATAAATGGGGGGAAACCTCCAAAAAAATTACAAATTTTTTCAATTTTTTTTATAGATACCTAAGGTATTTCACTATCATTTGAAATATTTTTGTGAATATTTGATCCTTTACCAACCCATAGGGAGGGTTCAAAATGACAACTTTTTCATAAAAAATTTAATTTTTCAACTTAACTTTTGAAAGTGTTCTGGAAATACTGACACTTTTTTATATATCTTAAATTAAAGTTATTATGGAAAAAAAAAAAAATTTGGACTTTATTTGGTCTTCATGGTAAAAATGGCTATCAATGTTATTTTTGTGTAAAATTCTCAATTTTATATTTTACATTATTAACATTATATTTCTATAACTTTTTGAAAAATGTATGGATCAATACAATTTTTTTATGAAAAATACTGTTTATATACCTCTTTCACTTGACATACTTTTTTTAAAATCGGACCATTTCCCTTTATACAGGAGACGTTCACAAAACTTATAAATACATATAGAAAGTATAACTTTTTCAACTTATTTTTAATTAAAATATATTTATCGATTATTCATACGTAACCTAATAATCAAACATAAATATTTGTCAAATTAATTAGAAGGATTTTGTTATTATATAAGCCATATGCAAAACTCTAATTGTAGATTTAAAATTGGCCCAAAAATCGGTTTAAGAAAGTATATATTGATCTCGGATGAAAATCCCGTGTAGATCAGTAAATTTATTTATAAATAATAATTTTTTTTTAAAATATTGTATTAAGACCTTCAACTTTTATATACATTGCCATGAAAGTAATAACTACTTTATAATTTTTTAATAGAATTACAATACAAAATTATTAAATATCAATTTAAAAGTATATTTAATTGATATAATAAATTTTAATTCGTATATTACACTTATAAATCATAATCCTTGTAATCAGGATATAAATAAGGAAATAGGAAATCATGTTGCTTTTGAATAATCCATCAAATTTTTAAAATTAAACACTATCTACAGATTTGCATCAAAGCGTTTATTATGATAGTGATTTTAATTACTGTCCATTAAATCTATACTGGACCCAACTATGCCAAGTCCCCACTATGCTGGGTTTTTTTAGATGAATGAATAAGATTTTATCTCGAGCTTACATTTAATATGATAGCCACAATATATACAAGAACCAGAAATTTTAATCTAAAATAACAAAATATTCTAAAAGATAATATGAATTTATAATTACTCCATTTGTTTATAATCACCTCACTTCACTCTATTATGTTTTAGACTAATAAAAATCAAATATTTTTAACTTACATTTTTGATAATGGTTTACTACAATTATCATTTTTATTACGTGAATTATTAACTTGCGTAGATACTTCATACCATTTTAGTTTCTCTGATTGTTGAAGGAGTAATATTGCTTTATTGCTTGATATTCTTTTGCTATCTAACCAGTCCTGATATTATGTAAATACAAGTAATATTTTTTATATATTAAAAGTAATATACAGAACGACCCTTTTATTAGGTTAATTTACATTTAGTTAAAATTTACATTATTTCAGTAGTTTACGTTATTTCTATGTGTAGAAATTAACATTATGTCTGTGTAGAAGAGTGCCAGAAATTTTACAAATTTTTTATTTCTTTCAAGAATTTTTATATACTAACTAGTTTAAAAATGATCCCAGTAAAATTTGAGATCAATCTAATATCTTTAACATTAAATCTATGTAGGAGTTAAGTAATTTAATGGGTTTGAAAAATGGATTATAATGGATTAATGATATAGTATAATATTATAATTAGAGGAATATGGGGTAAATGGGACAGCACATTATCTCTAAAAATTTAAGGTTCAATTAAATTAAAAGGTCTTTAAAACACTTCATTAATGTTGAATTTATAATACAATTTTTATGATGAGCAAAAATTGTACAATATTTATCAAGTTATCTATTTTTTGTTATTTGGCGAGTAAAAATAAGAAAATTTTAACAAGTTTATAATTATAAAGTTTTATTATAAAAAGTATTTAAAAAACATAATTCCATTTGGGCCAAAATGGTATATAGAGTGTTCAGTAAGTAAAAGAGTTTCTATTGTTCTTATTATTTGTAACAACTAATCTGTTCCTTTTTGTATACTTGTATACTGTCAGGGATAATTTGTAACAGCCCAGTTTTTCCCAGCAAGTATAATTTATAATATTTATAATAACATGTAATTTTCATTACTTTAGTGGGGTATATGACAGAATTAGGCTCCCTCTGGACCTCCTATATTTTAGCTGTGCTTGGTCAATTAACATAAATTATTCTAGCCCTTCTAAACATTTCACTAATTATTTGTCTAAAATAATGAAAAATAAAAAATTAAATTATAATAATTATAAGGAGGTATTAGCCAACTGTGCTACAGCATAGTAGCATAGTAGGCCAGTTCTTCCCTGGTTATAAGTGAAGAAATACTAAACATACCCTTTAGTATTTAATTAGTCTGAATATTAACGATTATTAATTAGCAGGGCTTAGAAATTTATGCATTTATAAAGTTTATTTTGGTCAGCCCAAGTACATAAATGATAAATAGATATTCAAGATATTATTTTTCAACACTAAACAATGTATAATAATTAGAAATTTAGTATGGGAGACATAGGGCATATTACTCTCTCCCCTAGAACAAAAATATTCCTGTAGAATTTACACACTTATGATAATTTTTCACAAATTCGAGGGTCTTGGAAGTGGCTTAAAAATTTTTTATAAATATAATAAAACCAAAGATATACATTTCCAGATGTAAAATTCTTATGAAATATTTTAATCCCCAAAAATAGTTTTCTAATGCTGTATTATGTTACAGTATATTAAAATGATTGATATGGGCTATAGTTGGTAATAGACTAAACTAGCTAAATCACAACATAATTACATTTATTTGTTGATCATCCTCTAAAATAGCAGGAATTCTGTGGTGGATTTTACAAAACATTGAATTTGATTTCATGGTTATGATAGAATAACTATAAATAATATCACCATTTAATGATTTCCACTTGTTGTATAAACCAGCCAGTTTTAATAAAGATGGCCCTTGCCATCCTAAGTTTTCAGACCATTGAGCACATTCCCAATTTTTTTTTTCATAAATCTAAAAGATATTTCATAATTAAATAATATAGACAAATTATTATAAAATTAATAATAATATAAATAGTAATAAATCACAGTGAAATTATTATATATTATATATAATAAAAATAATATATTTATATTAATTTTTTTTAAATATTTTTATCTTTCTCCTTTTTCCTTGCCTTAATTCCAACTGCATGGGGTCGCCCAAGTATTTTTATAAATATAAAAATATTTTAATCCATTTATAATTTTGAATTTATACAAATATAAATATGGAGTGAAGTATGAATAGTAGTTGCATTCTATCATTTTAATATCTGAACTATTTAATTGTTAAAATATTATACAATAATATTGAAATACGACAATAATTATCTATAATTTATAAAAAATAATAGGTACCTCTTTTTCTTGAGATGAGTATATAAAATATGGTTTTTTTTTTGAAGATGATATTGTTTGCCACTCATAAAAACCTTCACAAATAACAACACAACGTTTTCCTTCAATCAAAGGTTTTTCATACAATTTTGAGGTAGTTATATTTTCAATTCTACAGTTATTGGAACTTAAACCATGATCACTTAGACTACCCTAATATTAAATTTGATAAAAAAATTATTTCTCATAACAATAAAAGTGTAAATGTTTTTGAAATGAAAAGAATTACATTATACATGAGATGATTGTAGATGAGATAAATTATTAATATACAATTTTATGAAGAAATTTTTTGCTTAAAAAAACTTTTTAAGGATGTCATTTTATGTGTTATTTATAACTTTAATTCAATTAATTTACTACAACCATATTTTAATATAGAAAAATAAATATAAATCATTTATATTTTTTAAAAAATGTTTTTTTTTTGCAATTGTTAAAACAATCAACATTTGCACAATAAATAATTTGTTTATATAGAAAATTTACTTTATGCCAAGGTGGTATCATACCCCAAACCATTGGAGCTATTATTCTAGTAGAAGTTTCTTCAAATTTTTCTCCAGAAATAAGTATTGGAGTTATGTCAGTGGGTGCTATATTATTTGAAGGTATAAATTTCCGACCACCATTATCTAAATGATGCCATTTGGGCATTTTAAAATTAGTATCATTTTTTCCTTCTTTATAACTAGTTGCTTTACAATATGTTTCAGAATTTAAATTACTATACAAAAACAAAATAAGTTATATAAATAAAATATTACATGCAATACTTATTTTACATAAAAACATTATATATTTATCATGTTGGTCTTTCCCTTAATTCAAATAAATGTAATAATATGACTTACTAAAAAACATTATTCTTTTGCAGTTCTACTCTCTTAATGGTTTACTTTTAGAGCAGATATTCATGGTCACAGATTTCGGTTTTTATTACTTTTTTTTCTTTCTTTCAAATGTTATATTAATTTTATAATTGGTCAAGCTTTAAAAGCTTTTTTAAAGGGAAAAAATAGCCTTTTCTCTTTATTCCTGTCTACACTCTCTTTATTTTTCTTTTTCCATTCTAATATTTAATATGGTGCTGTTGTATAGTATCCATCAACTCGGACTTAAATGTGTATCAAAATCACTTTCTTTCTAATGCTGCCTTTGTTTAAAAGATTTCACACTACCTTTATGACTAATATCATCTTTTTTTAGTTTCTTCCTTAATATACCTACTTTAGCATTCATACAAGTTGATACAGACCTTTCCTTTGTCACTTTACTCTTTATTGGTTAAATTGATGCCCCTATCTTCATTTATCCCACGTCCCTAGTTATTACACCTCTTATAATCACAATAATCTTCTACACAAAATGATCCATTTACTTAATAATTCTTAGCTTTTTCTTTTACTTAGCATAACTTTTACTATTTATAGTTTTTATTATTCTAGCTTATTGTAGTTTTTGTATTTTTTGGTTCTTATAATAAATTTCTTTTAAATTATTTATCATCAATGAAGCTTATTTATATATTGCACGATATTGAAAATTGTCAGTCGGCATTAAATAAATTAAGAAAATTTCAGAAGTTCAAATTTTTTTTAAATCTTACCAGGCTGTTCTTCCACACATATTAATTCATTTTATTACTAATATTGTACATAAAAACAATATTCTTTATAACTATAAACTTTTAAAATAATACTACATATAATTTATGAAACAAATAATGATTTTAACTATTGAAATTTAAAATATATTTTAAAAAGAAAACTTCAAAATAATTTTTTAATTGTTATTTATATTCTTATAATATCCCGCCTAAAAATATACCTTTGAATATTGAAAAGTGATAAGTTACATTCACTTCTCAAATGTGTCAGTTTTATTGTCAAAACAAGAGATTAACGTTATCAAAAGTTACAGATAAGACATTAGAATATAGCATGATATTATACACGTAAAAAGTATACATGAAGTATATTATACATTCATGATAGTTAAATTTTTAGATAGTTTTTTATAGTTGGCTTCTCATTTTAAAATGAAGTGTACAGATTGTGGATCTTTACATCTCGACTCCAGCGATGGACCAACAGTATGTATGGACTGTGGTGGTGTCATGGATGAGTCCAATATTGTTTCTGATGTTCAATTTGAAGAGACAGATCGTGGATGTCGTGCAGTTGGACAATTTTTATCGTCAGAGTCTCAAGCAGCCAATTTTCATAATTTTGGTAGTGCTTTTCATCATGGAATGAAACAACCATCACGAGAAATGACTCAAGCTAAAGCAAGACGAGGAATTCAAATTTTGAGTAATAGTCTTAATCTTAGTCATCAAACCTTGGAAAATGCTTGTGTTTATTATAATATGGCATTAAAAAGACATTTTACCAGAGGAAGAAAAAATGCATTGATTTATGCAGCTTCAGTTTACATAGCATGTCGAATGGAAGGAACTATGCATTTACTCCTGGATGTTGCTGATGCAAGTGAAGTAAACGCATTTGAATTGGGTAAAACTTATCTAAGAATGATGCAAACACTTAGTTTGACTGTGCCAAGTCTTGATCCTAGCATTTTTTTGATGCGATTTGTCAATTCTCTTGACTTTGGTGATAAAACTCACATTGTTTATACTACAGCCATGAGGTTGTTACAAAGAATGATGAGAGACTCAATTCATACAGGTAATATTTAAAATACAAAATTTAAATAACATTAATTTATATATCATACACTTTTAGGTAGACGTCCATCAAGCTTATGTGGTGCTGCCTTATTAATTGCAGGCCGTATGCATGATTTTAATAGGACTATTGATGATATTATTAAAGTTGTTCACTGCCATCATGCTACATTGAAAAAACGTTTACTGGAATTTAAAGATACACCTTCTAGTATGTTGTCTATTGAAGAATTTATGACAGTTGATTTAGAACAAACCCATGATCCTCCATCATATAGAATTGCTAGAGCTAAAGATAAGGAGCGTATTGATAAGTTTTTTGAAACTAATGATAATGAAAAACTAATTGATGAAGTAAAAAGTGCTATTGAAAAAGAACTCAACAAAAAAAAGAACACTAAAGTTTTTGGTGTTAACTTAGCTGAGATAGAACGTGGAACAACTGACTTGGTACCTATTTCTAATCCCGTTAATACAGGCCCTTCACTAGAAATTATGGGCTTGTCAGAAAATAAACATACTTATGAAGATGATGATGAAGATGAAGCTATGTATATTGATGATATAGATGAAGATGAGATAGATTCATATATATTATCCAAAGATGGGCATCAAATGAAAAAAGATATGTGGATGAAAATGCATGGATCAGCGTATAGACAAATACAAATTAATAGAGTTGAAAGAGCCAAAAATCCCAAAGTGATCAAAGCCAAAGAAAAAAAAGCTAAAGATTCATTAAAAACACCAGCAAAAACTGCAGCTGAAGCTGTTGAACGTGTTTTGAAAAAGAAAAAATTGTCTTCAAAAATTAACTATGATATTTTGGATAATATTGACAGTTTTGTAAATGCAGACTCATCATCTTTACCAGAACTCCCGTAATAAATATAATTTTATAATATATTGTGTATAAATTGTTTTTGTAATTTAAAATATAGTTTTTTTTTTTAATGGAAATATTGAGTTAGATTTAAATTTTGATGCTTTAATTTATAGAAAAATTTTCTTTTTAAATAAAATAAATTAATCCATTTAAAGTGATTTGATTATAGATAATAAAAAAAATTGTTTAGTTTTTAAAGAACATTGTTTAATAGTGCTCTAAATAATTTTTCTATAATAACCATAGCAAGAGTATTTTTTAAGGTAAGTTAAGTTGATTTAAAAGAAGTCATAATATAGAACAAAATTTATGATAAATATAGAAGCTACAATTTCTTTAATTTACATAGAAATCGTAATAAACAAACTTTTTTATTACTTATCATACTTATTTATATTAATATTTGTATATTTATATACATTTTAATATTTATTTGTGAGAAAAAAGCTGTCCCAATTGTAAAAAATTTATATGTCCACAATCGTTCGAGAAACTAGCCCCAAAAAAAAAAAATACACTAACCTGAGTCTATGGTATAACGAGCTTATGCTATATTATTGTTTCTTTAAATAATAGTACATTTTAGATTTTACACTATTAAATTGATGATTGCTAATTATGTGTAATATGAATTGCATTACACATTTATCACAATAATCGCTGTAATATTATAAATATATATAAATAAATAATATAATAATATAATATAAATATATTTTTAATAGTTTTAATATAATTTTTGTAAATTTAATGAATATATTTTTTTAATTCGTTTATCTCATTAAGTTACTCAAATCTTCTAAAAATGATTAAGGTATTTAAAGAAAAATTCAAATATTGTGCTCTATTCGGAATAATGTCAACGGAATTAATTCATTTAAATTTTTAGTTTGATAGAAATCGTATCTATTACTTAGGCGTACAGAGTTCTTAATTGCAACTTTTATTCCTTCGTTTAAATCATTACTTTTAATTATAATAACTGTTTAATCATCAATTATCAATAAAAACTGATAATATAAATATTTTGATTATAGAAAGTTGCGGGATATCATTTATGTTGATAATTCAAAATGAAATGAAATTATTATATTGTTTTTAATTCTAAAATATTTTAACTCATTTATATCAACTATTATCATATTATTGTTATATTAAAATATTCATACATTTTTTGTTTAAATAATGTTTATTTTATTTTAGTTTACGAATGAAACACACTAAGTTTATGATGATTATTATATATAAACATTTTTGTTTGATTAGCAAATGCTAATTTTTGTTAATATGTTATGGTTTATTTGATTTAAATGTTTAATTTTTACGACTCATTACATCTATATGTACCATTAGATAAACTTTACAATGGGCGATTACTATAATCTTATATCAAAAGTGAGTTTGAGTTTGATTGATTATGTTTTTTTCCTTTATACAAATATTATTTGTTATAGAACCATAACAGCATTGATGATCTGATTGATCCTAGATGTCCTGGTTACTATTGTGGTCGACGTTTATTAGCTAATGGTCGTACTAGTGATTGTGGATCATGTCCTACTGGTACCCGTGTAAATGCATTTCATATGTGTCAACCATGTACAGACACTCCATCATCATATGATTGGATGTACTTATTGTTTATGGCTGTAGTACCTTTATTATTCCATGCTGTATATATAGATTTATCTTCAATATCTTGGGCATCTCAAGTAAAGAGGTAAATTTTTTATAACATATATATTTATTTTTAGAGATGTTTAAGTGCCAAATTTTTTAATTCTTTAAGTGATAATTCAAGAAATAAAACTAAGACCAAAATTGTATTATACATTTCTGCAACACTTGAAGTTATTACTGCAGCAACACTAGCTGTTTTAGCAGTGGATCCTTTGGGTCAAATATCAATTCGTTCTTGTCGAACACAGTGGTTATCCGATTGGTATACAGTATTGTATAACCCAACACCTGATTATCATGAACCATTAAGGTGTACTCAAGAAGCTGTATACCCAATGTAAATAAATATAATGATTAAGTATAAATCTACTCTACCAAGCATACTATTTATTGAATTTTAAATAAAGTTAGTGATTCCATAATTACAAATCTTTGGAAATCATGTAATTTTTCTGTTATATTTTAGATAATACATTGTAATATAAATTATGAAATAATGTTTATTTAATTATTTTAATAAAATATTAAAAATTAAATCAATATTATAAAAATAGCAGTATTAGAATAAGTAGATTTATACATAATACTATAGTAGAACAGTTAACTTACTGAACAAAAATTAATGCAATGAATTAATGTTTTAGGTATTCAATGATATTTATTTTTTATTTAGGTTGTGTTATTACCTTATTAACATTTCGCCCAATTTTCTCAGCTTATTTTAACTTAAGTGGATCTTTATACTTAAAAACATTATACGCTGGACTGTATTTTTTCCCAATTGCAGCTGTTACTCATGCATTTTTAGGTGGAATAATTTGTAAGTGTTATTAACAATTAATTACTTTCTTTCTTTAAATTTATCATTTTGAAATTATATTTTTTTATTAAATTTAAAATGATATTTTGTAATATAACAGAATTAAAATATATTTTAGCATATTTTTCAATAAATTTTTTTGTTGATTTAAGATATGACTTTTCCATACATAGTTATTGTTTTGTCAGTTGTTTCAAGTGCTATTCATTTTGCTACTGAAATTAATCAGGTAAATTTTACTGAATTTTTTTTTTTTTTTGTTTTAATTAATAAATTATATATTTTTTTTCAGTCAACCAGATATTTAATAGTAAATACAGTTTGTGTACCAAGAAACATATTAATTGTAGCAATACATTGGATTAGTCATGGATTTGGAATAGTTGCCATTACTCAATTAGCTAATCCACCAGTAGATTATGCATTATTGTTGCTTGTGCCTTTACCAACTGTATTTTATATAGCCACTACACGTATAAGTGAGCCCTCTAAGATACTTGTTTTATAAGTATTTTTCTATGTAAATTTGTATAATGTTATTTTGTAAAATATAAACTGTAAGTATTTAAATGAAATTTTTTTAAGTAAAAATAAATAGGTTTTTTTAATATTTTGTTAGTATTTTTTTTATGTAATCTATTAAAATTTTAAAATAACACATCCATTTAAATATTTTGTTGATAAATTAGCAGATTATTCTAAAATAATTAAGTTTTAAGGTTTACACTTTTTGCAATTATAAATTTATATTAATAATAAATATATAATTCTAAAAATTTTCATCTGTTTATAGTAAGATATTTTTAATTGTGTAGTATATAAAAATGATAATATTAAATTGATCAAAAAATATACTTAAATAATTAGTAATGATAAACTTCTTTTAATACTCGTTTTTCAACATATAAATAAAAATATGTTGTGTTACAAACTAAATTAAGACTAAAAACATAAAACCATTTTATTATTTTGTTTGACATTTTAAACATTTCAAACAGTAAGTTATAAATATAGTTTTTTTTTACAAAATAAATACAGTTCAAGTTCAATACAAACAAACTTTAATGAATAATCCAAATAAATTTGAAATTTAAAATTATAGAAGAAATAAATTAATCATTATAGATGGAACAAGATTTTATTCTAATGAATTACATAGTATATCTTTATGTAATTCTATGAGCTGGGTGCTAATCTGTTGTAAAATACCTGATACTCACTTATTAAACATTGTTTAGGATCAGGAGGTGGGTCTTTAACAAGATAATCTGCTAAAAATGGAGCTGGTAATAATAATATTCCTCTGACAGCAATTTCATTTAAAGGAACTGGAATATTTCCATGGCCTTGATCAACTATACAATGAGTAGAGTTTAAAAGATCTCTAAACAAAAATGGTTATACATTATAACATTTTTTAAGTATATTTTTAGATCATATAAAAAATAAATTACTTTTCTTCTAATATTGTTCCACCCCCCGCTTGAATGAGTCTACTTAAAGCCTGATACCGTGCTTCTGAAGTCATAAGCACAGCTTTCATACCATCAAATGCAGCAGAATATCCATTGGAAATCTTATTACGCCAGCGATATCCAGCACCATGTAGTGGAGTTGACAATGACAGGTCAGATAAAGGATTTCCCCATTCATACTTATCTTCCTATTCAAAATGAAATACAAATATTATATAATAATTTTTTTAATTTAACTTAAATAATTATGGAAATATTGACATTTATTATATTATATATTTAATTTATTTTTCTAAATAGTAATTAGTTAAACCATTCTGATAATAGTATAATTACAGTGTTGAGAGAGGTTGTATTTTCGACCATTGACTAAATAATGAGGTTGCAAAGGTATACTTTTATGACCTTTATAAATGTTTATTATCATAGATAATATTATTAAGTAAACAATAAATTTTACTTAGAATTAAGCGTATAATATATTTAAAAATATGGGTACACATTTTTTTATTTAAATGTAGAAATTTGTAGACAAAAAAATAGGATTTTAATTATATAATTTTTAAGTTAGACATGTATAAACATTGTGATTGGAGGAAGCAAATATCATCTTGCTTAAATATAAGTAATTTTGTATTATTGGGGTATGAGGATGTTAAAAACACCTGTTACCATTCAAAAAAATTGTTGTGATTTCTTAAATTATACCCAAAATATCACTGTTCTTAGACTTTTAACAAAGGTTGGAATAAATTTCAGCAAATAAAATAAAATTATTGAAGTACATAATTAAAATTTAAAATTATTGGTTTATAATGCTTTTTTTAAAAATTATATTTGTAGTAGTCATTTTATCATAAAGTAACACGAACCGGAAGGAAACAATTTTTTTCTAAACAAGCATCAATGTAACTAGGATGTAAAATCCATTTTCCAGATGCTAATGAACAGAGGTACTTTTCACTTCTACTTGGTTGATGCATTAATACATGAGTCACATCTTCACTAAAAGTAGCACTGCGTAGTACTTGAGCACCAAGTTGTTCAATTGCATCTTCATATTTTTGACGCTCCTAAAAGTAATACATTACAATAAGTTAATACAAGGAAAATGTATAAATTAAAAAAATGTATACATTACATTAGAGTTTACACTGGTTAAAATGAATTTTCTATCATAGTCAGTAAGTCTTTTCAACTATAAACAATAATTTAAACATAACAATTAAATAAAAACAAAAAGTATAAATAATAATAATACTCGAGCTTTTTCTTGTTGTTCAGTTGGGTCTTCCCATCCTACTGAGCATTGTTGTGATGATTCAATTATTCTTTCCTTAAAGAGTGAATTTCCTATACAAAAATCATTTTTTGAAAACTGTAATAACTATAAGAACATTAAACTTAAATATAAATATAGAAGTACATGAAAAAGTTATGATGATCAGTTTTTTAAAGTATAATAGTGTTACTATACTATATAAAAAAACTCACTAGCATGATCATCTTGACTATCAGCACAATCTATTCTTGTTAAAGTTACATCAGGTTCTCTAGGAGTTGATAAGTCTTGTTGTAATTGTTCCATCGTTCTACAAATATTTTAAAGTTATAAAACTTAATTTTTTTATTAATAAATAGCTAACATGACATTTCCATTTTTTTTTTTTTTTATAATAAAAGTAGTTAATGGATTAAGAAATTGTATTTCAAGTTATGATATTAATTTAAAAAAAAAACTATACATTTAATGAAATAAAATCATCAATATTATTTAATATTTATCAAAATATGTATATTATTAAATATATTGATATTTTAATATACAATTCTATAAAAAAAAAAAAAAATTAATTATATACATTATATTAATTATAATACAAACCGTCTAAATTCTTGTTTATCTAATGATTGCTGTTTTGATTCCTAAAAAAATAGTAGTTAGTAGTTTAAATTAGATCTTCTAATTTAAATACAGAGTGATTGATTAACTATGCCTCACAAATTATCTCTAAAATATGAGTTATCTTCTTTTTTCTTTATGAAATATTATGTTTCTATCTTGGGTTGCTAAGTGTGTAAAATTACATTTTTATGATCATCCCTTATGCTTTAAATCAGTATCAATTTTCAAATGGTAACCCTATTTTTTTTTTATATAATCAGATCAGATTTAGTTTTGAAATACCCTTTGGACTATATCAAGCCGGTTCTTAAGAAAACATTCCCTACAAAGTGGAATCACTACACGTAGAGAATGGAATATTAACCACTTGACTGATAAAGGAGGATTTGTAATATATACAGATGGATCCAAAAAATCAGGAAAGGTAGGTGCTGGCACTTGGGGTCTAAAGCCACGAATAAATGTCAGTATGTCATTGGGCACAACACCCTCTGTTTTCCAAGTAGAGGTGATGGCGATACCGGTAGGGGCTCAGAACCTGCTGGTATACAAGAATAGGAAGATAACTATTATAGACTTAGCACAACACAGACTAAACATTATACATATACGGTGCAGTAAGTATGGTCTATCTGTTAATACAAATAAAGCAGAGGTTGTTATGTTTACTAGAAGGAGAACAGGACTAGACGTCTTGACACTCTTACTCTAAATGAATAAGAAATTAGCTTAAAATCGGAAGTAAAATACTTAGGTATTATCTTAGATAGTAAGCTAAAATGGAAATCACATGTTGAGCCAAGAATCAAAAAAGCAATGACCATACTGTGGACTTGCAGCAGAGCCTTGGGGAAGACAAAGAGTCTTAAACCAAGAGTTATGTATTGGTTGTACACTTCAGTGATTAAACCTATGATATTGTATGGTGCTTTAGTCTGGTGGACCAGAATAGCACTCGTTACAGCTAGGAAAGAATTTAACCACATACAGAGAATGGCTGCAATAGCCATTACTGGAGCATTAAGAACTACACCAACGGTCGCATTAGAGACACTAATCGGATTGTCTCCTGTGCATCTAAAGGTTAAAGCTCACGCCCAAGACACAGCACTAAGATTTCACAACTTAGGTACGTAGACTATGGAGAGTGACACAGCAGAACATAGTAAAATAATAGAACAGAGCTTTTTGGAATACCTCTTAGACTATATAAAACCGGTTCTTAAGAATAACATTACCTACAAAGTGGAAATCACTACACGTAAAGAATGGTATATTAACCACCTGACTGAAAAAGGAGGATTTGTAATATATACAGATGGATCCAAAAAATTAGGAAAGGTAGGTGCTGGCATTTGGGGTCTAAAGCCATGAATAAATGTCAGTATGTCATTGGGCACAACATCCTCTGTTTTCCAAGCAGAGGTGATGGCGATACTGATAGGGGCTCAGAACCTGCTGGTATACAAAAATTGGAAGATAATTATCTTAAGTGATAGTCAAGCGGCTTTGAAGGCACTCTGTAACGATCAGATGAATTCAAAGCTGGTCCTCGAATGCAGGGAAACTTTAGAATCACTATCGAGGTTCAACAAAGTTACACTAGCGTGGGTACCAGGACACAACGGTGTCACTGGAAATGAAAATGCTGACTTTCTAGCCAGGAAATGAGCAGAGAATACCTATGATAGATCAGAACCAGTGGTAGGACTCACTAAGCAGTCGCTCAAAACACTAGCCAAGAATTGGTGCAGAGAACAACACAGGAAAATTTGGAAGTACTTGGTAGTACCTAGACAATTTAAAATGTTTATCAAGACCCCCGGTCTACTGCTGGGTGATCTTAATAGCATGACTAGACATCAAATAAGAACTTTGATTGGTCTACTGACAGGACATGGTCACCTGCTTAAACATCTTAACACAATGGGGGTATCAGAATCACCATTGTGCAGGAAGTCTGGAGTAGAAGAGGAAGATTCATTTCACATTAGTGCGAATGTGAAGCCTTGTCCACAGTAAGATCAAACTACTTGAGTAAACCTTTTCCTGAAAAAGAAGATATTAAAAACCTAAGACCCAAAGAAATACTTAATTTCGCCGGAAAGACAGGACTCTCTGGTCATCCATAGGGGTGACTTGATGATCCACCCTTGTACAATGATAGATATAATGTAATAAGACTTAGGTAGGTAAATCGAATTGAAACAATTCTGTATGAGGTGCGCATAATGGACCAACAGGTATGAGTGCATGGGCATAATGTTCTCCCCTCGATAATAGCTAAAACTAAACTAAAAACTAGTTTTAATTTTTTTTTTTTATTTTATTCAATTATCAGCGAGATATGATTCATTAAGGGGATGTGAGTATTACTCACGTTGATTTATAAAAGACACGCAAATTTTATATCATGGTACAATGCACCGATAGTTAGTATCTATACACTAAATATTAATGTTACTGTATTTACCCAATTACTGTTTTATTTGTTAAATTCCCTAAATTTTAAATAGTGATATCTCGTTTAGAATTGATTAAGATTTATTTTTTTGCTAAACAAGATTAATAAAAAAAACCCAGCACAGGAGGGTCGTGCCACAGTGGTGACGTGGCATAGTTGGGTCAAGTATAATGATATCTGATAGTGATTAAAATCACTATCATAAAAAACGCTTTGATGCAAATCTTTAGATAGTGTTTAATTTTAAAAAATTGGTGGATTATTCCAAAAGCTACATGATCTGCTATTTTCTTATTTATATCTTGATTAAGATAAAGTATGTCGATTGAAAGAGGAATATAAATACTACTTTTAATGAAAAAATTGTGTTGATCCATACACTTTTCAATAAGTTATAGCATTATAAAGTTAAAAATGTAAAAAATAAAATCGAGAATTTTCATACAAAAATAGCATTTGGTAGCCATTTTCACCGTGAAGACAAAATAAAGTCCAACATTTTTTTTTCCATGATAAAGTATATTATATTAACTTTAATTTAAGATATATATATATAAAAGTCTCAGACTTTCCGGAACACTTTCAAAAGTTAAGTTGAAAAAGTAGTCATTTTAAATCCCTCCCTGTGGGCAGGAAAAGAATCAGATTTATAAAAAAAAATATACCAAATAAAAGTTAAAGAAATCATGCATCTATAAAATAAAAATTATATTGATTTGGTTATTTTTAAAAAAGTTATGGCAGTTTTAAGTAAAAAAAATGTTTACATTTTTTTGAAAATTTGTAATTTTTTTGAAGATTTCCCCCATTTACGGGGAATGAAGGAAATTTATTCAATTTTTGAGGGTAATGTCTTTGACTAGATACAATTCTAGGTACGATAATCTTTTGATGTACCGTTGAAAGAAATTGGTTCAGTGAGAGCTGAGTAAAAGTGGTAACAGACAAAAAAAAGAACACATCATAGTAAAACCAATACCTTCTCAGCTTCGCATCGAAGCTAAAACTGGGTTGCTATTTGAAAAACTAAAGTTGATATTGATTTGAGGGTTAAGGGATGAAGATGGAATCTTTATTTTTCTTGTCAAGTAGCTCAACAAAGATTTATAACAAATAAAATAATTATATATATGATAACACTAATATTTTTAAAAAAAATTTGTAAGGCATAGTTAGTCAATCACTCTGTACATATACATGACCTGCTTAATTAAAGGAGATAAGATAAAATATTTTTTTTTAGTTTAATTGTTTTAGATTTATATCACATGATTACCTACCTCTAAAAAAAAACACTTTATAGAAAAGCAAATAAAAAATTATAAAATAATATTAATGACTTACTAAAGTAGGTGATTTGTTTACACTGGATTTATTCAAAGAATTATCAGATAAGTTAGTTTTGCTTGAATTATGATAATTTTTCAATGAATCAGTATGATTGTTATTTGCTGGAGAATCCTGTGTAATCATTATAATAAGGTAGAAGATTAATTTATTATACTTTCATATCATATATTATAGTAATATATAAAGTCTAAAGCTTCAGTATATTTTTTATAAAATTTATAGAAAAATATTGACATTTCTGTAGTTAGAATACATGTAAGTATAAATTACAATGTTTCTAATAGACATTACAACTTTTAAGTTCATAACATGTTTTTTTAGCACACATAATGCTTTGTAATTCAATCAATAAATTTTTATTTTTTGAGAAAATAGAAAAACAAAAAAATTTTTAATGATATGTTATCTCACCATCCATAATTTCAAGCTTATAATACTTCTCTAAGCATCATAAAACTCCTTAAAATGAAAATCTAACTAAATAAATAATTTGAGAACTATATATATTTACTTGATATTTTGAAAAATGTTAATACTTACTTCTTGATTATTGGATGTTGGAAGTAGAAGTTTATCCCATAGTTGCCTTTTTAGTTCAGTCAATGGCTAAAAAGATAAATATATATTTTTTTTTAAATAAATTATACTTAAATTTATTATTGTCATAAAGAAATATTTTCGTACTGTGCTTTGGCGATTTTTAACTGTAGATTGATGAGGTGTTTCTTTTGGTCCATCAGGTAATGTGTCTACCCACCTAAAGTTAAATAATGTTTATTTAAATCTTGAATTTAATTTAAACTCAAAATCAGTAATAAGATTTTTGTGCACACTTTTTCCAACGTTTTTTGGTTTCTGGTGTAACAGAATCTTCATAAAAAACTTGTCCATATGGGGTATCAGGAGTTTTTAAATTAGCCATGAAATTTCCAGAAACTACGGGTGTTAAACAAGATGATTTTAAACGAGTTCTCATACTAATAGGAGATAATTTATCATCTACTATAGTTTTAGGTGTTAAATTCATTTCTATTGAACATTTTTTCTTAAGAGGAGGTTCAAAATCTTCTGTATCTTGTAGGGGTATAGCAAGTTCAGATTCTAAATCTTTCTGCAATGTTTCAGGATTAGTAAGTTTAGGTGTAATTGATCTTTCAAAATCATTTTGAGAACGACTCAGAGATTTAGTAGATGTAGTAGCTGTAGTATCTATAATTGAAGACTTGTCTGCTATTGTTTCATTACCTTTAAAAGCAAATATATTTGAATTAAATAAAAAAGGTTATAAATATGTATCATTAAATATACCTTTATTATCAATTGGATATTGATTTTCAGATAAACGACGTTTATATTTTACACAATCTAACAACCATTCTTTAGAAACAACAGGTACTCCCCATTTTACTGAAGCTTCATATTTTGGACCCTCTGGATTAGGACAAATAAGATGTGTAGTAACCATTATATTATCTGCTAGCTTTGGTTTTCGAGACAATGCATCTTGATAGCTAAATAATATTATTGGAGCTAAGTAACAACATGAACTAAAATTAGCCAAAATAATTTTGGCTAATATAATTTAAAAATTATGCATTTATAATGGTAGAAACATACATTACTAAGTTACCCCTATGTTTAGACATCTTTAATTACTTTTAAACCAATGAACATTTTGATTTAACTTGTTTTACAAATAATTCATACAGTTTTGTACAATGTTAAGTGCATATATTTTATTTCTCTAATAATTTTAAATTTGGTCAATGACACCTAGATCAAGTCTTTGGTTAATTAAAAATTCAGTATCTACCTTAATCAAATTTAAAGAATAGGCATGGGCAATATCAAACAAATTACTGAAATTATTACTATATATTATTGTATGAAATATTAGGTCATATTGTATATGGTTTGTCAGATACTATAGAATATTCGTAAATATCCCAATTTTGATAATTTTACCAAGTATTACATATTTTGACATTTTTTCAGAACACTAATGGATTAAAAGAAAAACTGTTTGAACTTAATTTATACAAAACAGTTAGATCCACAATTTAATATTAATAATATTTTTTAAGAGAGCGTTAATTTACAATCAATTGCTAAAAACTACACTTTTGGCTGATTTTCAACCCTAAGTCAGAATGGTTTAAACTTATCTGATTGCCTTGAAATTTTTTGTAGCCACTTTTTATATATACAAACAAATTTGGGGAGTGAAGAAGAATATCCAAAATTTTAAAAATAAAGGACACCTTAGTGGGTTTGTAGCACAGGTGGGTACAGATTGTACTAATATATGTGCTCTATACCTACTCTACATACCCACTCTATGTATTAAAATGTTTATAACCTAATAAGTACTTATCCTAAAGTTGATAAGGGCATTCTGTATTAAATATTATTTTAAAATAATTAATATTTGTGTTTTATAAATGTTTAATATCTATCTTATGGCTGAATTTGATGTTTATTAAAAAATTATTGCTAATTTATTTTAAAAATTAAAAAAATGTCCAGACAATTTGAAAATGAATCAATTTTTTTAATTAGATACTGCAAACTTATTCACATAATAACTAAACATATTTTAATATTTAATTTTGAATTAAATTAATAAAGGACAAAAGCACATACTGAGCACCAAGTAACAATGAAACTTCCTTTAAAAAATATCGCTCTGAACCTGCATAATTCGTAACACTAATCACACAGTTCTTTAAAGGAGTTGTTCCACTAAAAATTACTGGTTTATGGTAGTATGAAATTTGAATTTTTTCAATGTTATTAAAACAGTCTTCCTAAAAAATATGAAAAATAATTATTAAACTCAATTTTTTTAAATATAAATTACATTGATGCTTACTATCCAAAGACAGCTAACTATTTCAGCATCTATAGTTATTGACTTTTCATTAAAAACTATTGGTACAACAACATAGTTGATTTTACCACGATAACTTCGTGTACTAACTGCTGTTCCACCCATTGAAATGATTTTGCTTTTTACAGAAGACATTTGATGAGCATCCAATCCAAACATAAGTATTGTCAAGCCTATAATCATTATAGCTTTATGTCTCATGTATAAAATAAATATTATTAAACAAACCCTCTAAAACTGATTCAAGTTTACTATCTTGAGTAGACATGGTTTCTTGTGTTGAACAAGTTGATCTTTGACTTTGTGAATCATTAGAACTATTATTCATTTCTGAAAAGGACATAATGCTATCAGATTAAAAACAAATTTAACTGTTAGAATATTTATGAAATTTACTATTTGATTTGATTTTAAATTTTATCGACATTTAATGATTTTTAAAATGTATATTTCATATTCTTACCAACATTCAAATACTGATCAATAAAGTTATTGTGTAATGGACGTGCGACAGGTATTAATGGTGTTGATGGTTTAGGTTTCTCTACAATTTTAGACTGTGAAAGAGTTCTATTTTTCATCATAAATAATCCCTTATTTCAACAAAAAGATGAAATATTCATTACAAATGAATCATCTGATAATATTTTATATTAAAATTTATGAAGAGTTCCATTTACTTTTTTACTAAGAGGAGATGGAGATTCTGGAGTAAATGCATGAGAAGCATCCATTGCAAGAAATTGATCTTCTGGAGCAGTAGACTTCAACTTAATGCTTTCAACTATCCAGTTAATATTGACAACATGAGGTCTATATAAAAAAAAAATTGTATCCTTTTATTATATCATACATAGTGAATAATAAATGACAATAATTTTATATATCAAATTTTAATTTTAATAAAAATAATATGATCATACAATTTTACAATTTCAAAAACCCCAATTTTGAATGAAAAATGGTCATTTAGCTGAGCCTTACTATGAATAAACTACATAATATACTTATTCATTACTTTTGTTGAATAGAATGTAATAATTTAGCTAAAGATGCTGAAAAATCTCCAACAAGAATATGTGTAACAGACTCATTTAATTCTGTATATCTAATACCACCAGCAGATATTACAATTCTTTTCAATTTTTCTTCTTCACTTGTACCAAATCCACTAAAATAAATCTATAAGAATATATTCATAGAATTTAATTAATAATTTTGTATACATAAATTTTTTTTTTTAACATACTTTACAGCCATCTAAAATTGTACCAGCTTTTTTAACATCACTTAAGTTTAAATTACTTAAAATAGCCCTGTAGTTAATATTCTTAGATAAATCTGAAAGAGAAAATAAGTAAAACTATTAATGTATTCAATCTTACTCATACATGTTAAAACTTATAAAATTTTTTATATAGCTTACATTGACCATTATTTTTCTTAGGCGTAGTACAATCTTCTTGTGTTCTACAACTACTTGTTAACTGACGTTTAAGAACACTAGGATCATTTATTGTTTCTTCAATAGAAGATTTATGTTCAGCCATGATTTCACTAATATCTCCTTGAGAAAAAACATCTGAAAATGAAGTTAATATATTAAAATATAAAAAATATACATTAATAGAAAAGAAACTATGCAGACATTCAAAATTGAAACAATTAAATTTATTCTAAGAAAGATATTTATGTCGAGCTGTTTGTATTATACAAAAAATAAAGACTTAAAATCAGAAATTAAAAATCTAAATTAATTACATGCTTTTCTAAATTAAATATTGATCTAAGTATTAATTTTTTTTTGTAATGATATGGAAGTAAAGAGGAAAGCAGTTTTAAAGAAGTTACTCCAGAAAAAGGTATTTAAAGGAGTTAGTTTGGCATTAGGCCATCAATATGAATGATATTTTTAATAAAAGTAATTAAGGAAACTAAACATACGTTGGACATGAGAAATTGCTGGAGTTGAACTTAACATTGTGTTTTTGACTATATAACTCTCAGTTTCTACTAAATAACCTTTATCTGCACTATTAAATATCCAGTTAGGCTTCACACATATTAAACCCCATTGTTGAGCATAAGAAAATTTTTGTCCAGTTGGTTTATTAACTACTAAAACATCAGTTTCGCCTTTCTTCATCTGAGGTGTGTATTTACCCCCTATTCAACAATAAAAATTGTGATCATTATATATTACTTAAGATTAAATAAATAATGTATTTCAAACATTTTAGTTGTTTTTTCTTATAATTTAATATTATAGTAAATTATCCTTACCATATTTGCCAACCAACATAGAAATTTTTTCCCGGTCATTAAAATCTAATCCAGAAGTAGTCACTTGAAGGTTATAAAAAGTAGGACACTTGTATTTATCAAATAATGATTCAGTACCGACTACATTACGTTCTAAGCTCTCTTCCCATACAGCATCAACCCAATTTTCTATCATAATTGGTAATCCTACTTCTATAGCTTTCTAAAAATTAAGCATAACTTTCATTTCAGCATACCATTATTACAGTATTTCAATATGTATAGTTAAAAGAATAAATAATTCAAAGTTTTGACTATGTCATTTTTCATAAAGATTAATTTTAATTAAATATCATAACTTATCTTTTTTATTATACTGACAAAATATGAAAGTATATTAAAAAAACTTCATAAATCAGAATATGTAAAATTAATAATTGTAGAATTTAACGAAAGTGTAAAAATTAACTAAGGCATATTGATCATAAAATAATAAAATAATAATGTGTATGCATAGTACTATCATTATATAAAAATTTTTGGATTATGGATAAAATATGTGTTCTATAATTATTATTTACTGTATATTTTGGTGATCCCACTTTTCCAACCATCAAATGAGTTGTAATATCTCTAAGATTGTGTGTGAAAATTCCACCCATATACTCAAATTTTTCTTTGACTCTCTCCTAAAAAAATGTGAAAAATTTAACATAATATTTAAATAAAAAATAATTTTTTTACTTTTTCTTTTGGGTTTATATTAGAAGCACTTAATACAACATCTCTCATTGCTAACGTGTATATTGGTGATTTATTTTCAGGTATGGGAATGGATTCTACAAAACAAGTTCTAAGACATAAAGGACTAACAATTCTGAAATTTTTTTAGCAATTAGAATTATACATAAATACATATACTAACTTTCTTAAGAAACGGATAATAAAAATAAATAAAAATTTTAACTCACACGGCTTCATTTTGTTTTGCTGCCATTAATACATGCTGAAAAGCAATTCCTTCAAAGTTATCAAATACAAAAACTTGATTTTTTTTAAATGTGTTTATTTCACAAACATCATTTTCAGCAACAATGTTGGTTGTCAATTCGTGATCATTACAATCCTATAAGTAATGGCATGTACAAATATTTTATCACAATAAAGTAAAACATATTTTACTATTATAACAAGTATTACCTGTAAGGCTAATTGCATAGATTCTGACATGTCCTCGATTTTAGTGCAATTATTTTTTAATACGAAGTTTACTTTGATACTTTTTTTCTTTTTAGCCCACATTTTTAAGGATAAACAGAAACTACTATGATATTACGTGATTCGTGATAACGTTCGAAGTAGTTATCAAAGTTGTTTTTTTTAAATTATTAAATGCCTTTCTGACCGCTGTATTGTCAAGGCGGTAGTGTTCCCAGTTTTCAGTGATAATTATTTCGGTTAATTGCATAGACCCAATATTGAATATTAAATTATAACCATTATAATAATAATGGTATGGTGGTTAATGGTTATAATGTGGGCAATGATTCTTTACTATTAAAAAAAATTATTATTAGGAACTTAATTGTGTAAATTCTCCTAACGGTTTTAAACCTTCCTAAAATCGATTATTTTTAATAATTTCAGACGATTCATTATTTTTTTAAATTAATGTGAGATATTTGTTTTGAGATAGATGTTTCCTGACGTAGAGAATTAGTATTTCATAAAGCTAAATTATTTTCTATTATTACAATTAATCTTGTTTGTATTTATTTAATTTTGTATTCATCTCTAAAAGTATTCCATAATTGTATTTTCTAAACCTTCTTGTTTCTATTAAATATTGTTTAAGAAAAATATAGACAAATACAAATGTATTTTATGTTAATTTGTATCTGTTACCGTTAAGAAATCATAATAATAAAATTGTTAATAGGTTTATAGCAAATTCTTACTCTAAGTGCGTTGTAATTTACTAGACGTTGTAAAGGTAAGTATTTTAATGTTTGTCATTGTTTATTAAAAAAAATATATTGTAATTTCATTTTAACAATAAATGCGAATCACTAAGAAAAGTTAGAAAAACAAGAACTCGGTTTATATAATTGATCCCCTTAATTTCATCATAATCGATAAAAAATTTTAACTAAATTTTTGGATGATAAAATTTTTTTCATATAGAGCTTGACAAATGTCTAATAATAAAAAAAATCATAAGCTGCGCTTTATTTCTAGGCTATATTTTTAAATGTTGATAATTTCCGGAATACTAATTAAAAATATGTTATGGACTAGCAATTTTTTCAATTAAATAATTTTTAAATTTTAAATAGCCGTTTTATAGACATTTTCTTGCAAAACATTTTAATGGGTTAATAATAGTATCAAGATGAGTACTTATTGAGTTGAAATCATTTTTATTCGTAGAGTGGGTGTGTAGCGCAGTTGGAGTATGCATTATGTAAATATACACCAGTACAAGTTGTACCGATTAAAGTTATTAAATTTATCGAAACATCGTGGACCACCTGAATGCTTTTTTACGTTTTGTGTTTAAAAATAATTTCGTTTAGCTTCGAGTTAACTGAAATGACGTTACTAAAAAGAATATGTAATAAAATATCTTTAGAATTATTAATAATTAAAAATTCACTTTATATTAATGCCATTATAGAAATTAATTAATAATTTTACATATGAAGATGCAAAACTATAAATGATTAAAATGTTTCATTTGTGATGAGTAATTTATAAGCATTAATTTTTAAATTAAAGTTTTTAATTACATATGATCAAGCAATTTTTAGTAGACGTATATAATTGGAATTTGAAGATTTTTTTTTATTGTTTCATTGTACGTACTACTTATATTACAATTGAAATGTTTCATTTAAATATTAAGAAAAAAATTATGTTAAATCGACTATTTATCTTGTGTTGCATTATATACGTATGTATGTACATAAATGTTGTAATCTTTAATAAACTGACGTTGACATAAATTTATTGGTATATTACACATAGTTCTGCACTTAAATTCTATACTTCAAAATAAATTTATTCACTACATGTAGTGAAAAAAAAATTTATTTTTGATTTTTTTTTTCGAATTCTTTTTTAATGATTTTGTTATTAAACTCGTAAGATTTACATTTAAGTTTATCAGTTATATGATTTCAATAACTATATAACGAAAAGAATTTTTCGTAGTATTTTATTTTGAGTTCTTTTAACATTTTTGGGTTACAAACTTGTTAATTTTTCAGTCTTTTTGGTTAAATTGTTTGGCTATTTAACAAATATTCTTTAGAAATTACTCTTTATGAATCCCTAAAAAAGATCTGCCTCCGTCTGCACCTCCTGCAAAAATCGTAGCGCTACTTCTGAATTAAAATTCAAATAAAGATTAACTGCATTAAAATTTTATTTAATTTCAGAGATATTTTTTTGAAGAATAAAAAAACAAGTTAACATAAACTTGAGTTAAACTAGCTATTCTTGTTGTAAAGTATAACATAAATATCTGTCCAATGGATTTACTGCCGTGATACAGATTTACACAATTGTTAAAAATATTTATGCAGGTATACTTAATTTATGCATAAATTAAAAAAAACACGTTTACTAAAATAAACAATTTAGTGCTCACTTTCCATTACTCATTCGGTTACCGGACATCGTAGTTGTTCGAATATATTATGTGAATCATGTTATTAATTGGATGCTACTTAGTTATTATTACGATGATAAATATTAATAAAAAATTTGTAACTCAAGGTGTCTCAAACACGTTTGGACTATATCCGTGTGTTATGTTGGCGAGTCAAATAATCATTAAACGCCGATACGCGTAATTTTAACTGTCGAATGGTAATGATTATGGCGATGATAGTCAGTAGGGACAAAAAAGGGCAACTGGTATACGAATCGACTCGCGAGTAGCATAATTATTGTTGATAAAATAGTTCGTTCGAATCTGTCTAAGAACTTGTTGCTATAATAATTTGTTTCTAAAATTATCGACAATTTCGCTATGTGTTAAAGTGCACGTGTAAAGCTCAGTCTCGTCCGCGCGAAGTTCAATTGAGTAATAATAAAGAGTATAGTTTGCGATAATAAATCTTGTTTTTTAATAGATATAGGAAAAAAGTGACGGTTTTTTGTTTTTTCTTATCTTTATCTATTCGAGTGCCAACACTGGCGACTGAATAATTCGTCAAGTGCCTTGCCGCCATTTCAGCTTAACGCCAAATGAACCAGTGAGTGCGTGTAAGTGTGTATGCAAAAGCTCCCCAAGTACGCTGAGCGATCATGTTGGCGGACGCTGCTGAATTCGCCATGGTCTCCGTCGGTATGTTCCTGTCCAGCACTGCGGTGGCCATTGTACTGGTAGTTGGGGCGTATGCTGTATACGGCCACCGACGTCAAAGGTAAGGGATTTCCTATTTATTTTCTCACTGGAATGTTGTAAAAGATTTTTGGCGCATTTAGACTTTATGTAGCCTATTGAATATTACGATTTATGGAGTAATTAAAAAACGTCTCCTAAAAAATTAGTGCTGTCGATGTTTAATTCACAATATTTACTCGGTAGTTTACCAAATTAGCTAGTTTTAATAATATATGGGATATGATCTTGTTGTATATTTTTAAAATTTTCTTGTTAAAATTCAAATAGGGTAAAAGCAATTGAAATATTGTTTAATTACAGAGCTTATTTAGTTTTTTGGAATTAAATTTAATCGAATTTAGCGTTTAAAATATACAAGTATAAAAAAAAATGCAGTGATTGGATCTATAGATAGATTTTAGAATTTATTTTATGAAAATAAATCTGTTATTAAGATTTAATGTACAAAAAAATTCGTTGAAATTTTTAGGTTTCCTTAATTGTTTAATTGCTATGCATTTTACTCAAGTTACCTTGTATTTTTTTTATTTTGAAATTACCGATCAAATCTATAGAAAACTATAAGTAAATAATTATAAATTTCAAAAATGAACATTTCGAAATTAGCTAAAATTTTAATATTTTATTGTTTCTAAACTTTATTGGCAGTAAAAAGTTTATTTGTATTTAAGTATTTCTTTCTTTATTTTAATTTATCATTGAATGTTGAATAGTTAATTTCCATAGTCGCTGTTGTATTACTTAATTTCATAATTAATTTTAATTTAATATTTTATTGTCACTTCACACATATTCAGTATGTTATGCATTAATAATTTATTAAAAAATTAAATAATTAAATAACATTTTAATTGTTTGCAAAATTTCAAATAATAATAATAATCAATTATTATTAACTTATATTTACTGAATATTAGTTGTACATAATAGTGAATGAATTCGTCACGTTACATTTTTTATTATTTGATATAATATATTGCATAATTTCACGGAAAAAATTAGTTTTATTAAAAAAGTTTTAGAAGTATTTATATTATTTTAATAGATACATATTTATACTTGAATTCTTTAAGACAGTATAATTTGTAATTATAACGTGATAACATGTAAAATGCAATAAAGGAGTGTCGATTAATGACTAAGGAAAAACTAACTTTACTCGAGAGTTTTAATTATGTAGTTATTGCGATGAATGGAACTATTTCGATATTTTTTAGTAACTAATCTTATCTTTAATGTAGGATAGTAGTCTAGTTTGCTGACAAATTATATTGACTCTTTTCATTATCAGAGTAGTGAAAATATGTTAATGTGTTATTATTTACTTTGGTTGGGTTGAGTGTTAACTTAAAAATAAAAAATTGCAATAGCAGTAGGTATTAAAATAATTATTTTTAAAACTAAGATCTAAATAGTAACAATTGAACGTTTTTGTCTATGTTTTAATCTTTAACCTTTAAAACTGAATAATTTCATAAATTCGTCTAAATAAAATTTATTATGGAAAAATTAAATATTGAATTTAAATGGGTATATGTTAAAAACGCTTAGCGAAACCCAAATAATTGTTCTGATATGTATTTGTACATCTATTAGTTCTAGACGTTCCTATAAATAATACAATTTTTTAATATAAAAATATGATTCAGACGGGTGTCGGATGATACATAGACATCGTACGAATTACAAGATTTTTTTAATACCTGTGACAGGAAAAATATACGGTTAAACGAAAATATGCCAATTGAACCGCGTTAATAGAAGTGAACGCGGAACTAATTTTGTGGGAATTCGCCCATACTTATTACATCCCCATTTGATCTTAAAACGGTGCTTGACAATAATGTATGAGTTTTTTCAGACCGATTTTATCGCACTTGAGCGTTGGCCATACTGAGGTGTTTCTCGTACACGAAAAAAAAATTTAGCAAAAAGAGTTATCATTTTTACAGCTATCTATTATTGTGTGAAGATTGTTAATCTTCCGACTTGTGGATATGCGTGACATTCAAATACGTTATAGGATTGTCATCCACGTGTGTAGTAGAAGTACACGAAGCAATGAATAACACGCATTTTATTTTGTTCCGGGAGTAAAACCTTCATAAAAGCGCTATAAACAACTGACTACACTTGATGAATGACCCCGAGGTCGACGGGGAAGAAGAATTTTTATCATACATAATGATGGCCAACAAACAACAAAATAATCACATTAACGCAAAGTGGCGTATTTAAAGGGGTGAAACACAGGCACATGCTGATATAAACATTTTGTTAATATTTTTTTAAACTCGCAATCAACTTAAAATGAATAAAAAATTGTTCATGATAGCTTGTCAAATGAAAAATTTTATTTGTGCCCCCTCCAATTATGAATTTTTAAATAAACTATTATAAAATAATATTAACTAAAGTGGATTTAAATGTATAGTATAGTTTAATTCAATTGGCGAAATTGAACGATCTTATTAAAACAGATGAACGAAATAAATTATGTTAACTAGTGAAATCTATAAAAAAATAGTGAGCTATTTTCTATTCGCGAATAAAATACATATAAAAATTATAATTCGTTTTATTTTGTGTAATAGAAGTATATACATTTTTCGGAAATAGTGTTAATATTTATTCAAGGATTTCTTTTTGATAATGACATTAAAATAGTCAAAAATTCACTATTCATATTTGATTTATTTGTTTTTTGATTTTTTAATCCAGCATTTTTTTATATTGCTCATCTTCAAATCATTACAAATTTAATTACAGTTTTAATGTATTAAAATATCAAGTATCATTATATTAGTGATTTATCAATAAATTAATTCATATTGTTATGTAAATATTTCTGTGTTATCCACACAAGTACATAAACGGTAACACTTTCATGTAACTATTCAACATTTATGTTGAGTCGTTACTTAATTATATAAATATTAATCTAGATATTTAATTTTAATACGAACACACGAATGTTGTACTCTGAAAAACTTACATGTTTTAGAATGTCAAACATTGTAACGATTTCCTAATATTTTTGGAGTGTCATAATAACTTGAATAATATTATTCAATTAAAAATTAAATTAAAAATTGTTATCAGAAAAAATTAAAAACAAAATAAAATGTGAAATTTGTAAATTACCTTATCTGGCTATATAACCATTTAAAAATTATAAAAAACTATTAAAGAAATTTTTTATTTTGAGTTAAAATATCATTTAATATTGTCATTTTTAATTTTCTTAAGTTCTATTTATGTGTTTGGCAAGATTCATAAGTTTAAATACTCATTACAATATTTTGTTAAAAAAAAAAAAATGAATTACGTGTCTTATTGTAAATCAAGTTATGCATTATTTTTAATTAAATAATTTCCTTCATAATATTAATTTAACTATAGTTTAAGTTTTCAAGAGTCATAGTTTCGTTACTACATATATTTCATTACATTAATGTAGCGTATAAAATTTGATAAACAACGCTTTTAGTAAATGAAGAAGCAAAAATTGTGTTAAATGACTCTGCGGTGAATTGGTATTTATCAAGGTAAACCTTGAATTATTCTAAATTTTTAACAAGAAAGACGAGTATTCGTATAGAATGTTGTTTCGTACAAAAGAGATGACAGGGGATATTCTTCATTTTGGTGTTTTTTTCACAACAAATTATTATTTTTTATTTTCTTTAGTTGTTTTAATCAATCATTTCTTATCGTATTGCCTAATAATACTAAATTAATACTTAAAACTATCAATTGTTTACAGTCAATATACAATATTCTATGTTATGAATGACTTATTTTTAGTAAATTAAATGATAAACCCTGGGACGCCTTAATTTGTCTCCTTATCGTTGATGTACAGCTGAGCTATTTGCTGTTAGTTCCCAGATGGGTGACTATACAAGAACTTTAATAGTGACATACACCTTACTCCATACTGGCTCCATCTGCCATGATGAAATGCATTAAATCAAGAGCTGGTGTAAAATTTAGCCAAATAATTAAGGTAAAAACGACCCCAAATTGTTGAGATAACGGCTATGAGGATGATGATGATGTTGACTAAGTTATTGATTTGATGATAATTTAAAAAAAAATTAATTTATTAAAAATATAAAAAAATCCATAATTACATAAAATTCCTTTTTTTTAACTCGTTTTATAAAAATTCGTTTTAATAATTAATGAGTAAAAGTTTGAATAATGGTATGTATGTTAATTGTTAAAGGATTTGATGAAACTAAAGCTCATCTGTTATTATTCTTAATAAGATGTATGTGTGTTTATTTCATGTACTTTAATTGTAAATAAAAATGTTTATTGAATATTAAAATTTATTGAAGTTTTATTTATAATATCTTCCTGATTATTTTTAAATTATCATTAGTTTGTAAATATCGAATTAAAAAAAAAATGGAGAAGTGTTCACAAATCTTAGATAAGTGTCTTTGGATTTCAACTAATTAAAATATTAAGCGCCGACATTGATAGACATGACAATGAATATAAGTTATATTTATATTATTTACTTGGATAAAACATAATCTTTGTATTTTAATAAAATATGCACCATTTATATGTCGATTCAAAGTAGTTAATGATTGGACCATTATGACTTAAATAACAAACATGTGGTGTACGTACACTGTTATTATTAAATAGGTTACTGGCCATCACCTAGATCTATGATATAAGTAGTCTGTTAAGTATAACAGTTAAACTTGGTATTAATTAGTAGTTTAATAACAAAATGTATAAATAATAATTGAACGAAATAATTATTTTACTAGTATTATCGAGTAATGACTTTTGGCTGATTGTCATCGAACACACTTAAGTAAAAATATAAAACTAAAAAAAAATCATGTTGAATTGTGTGTTTGGGGTAATAATGTAATTTTTTGATTTGTTTAAAATGTTAAAATACCAATAACGGTACCTAATTTTTGATATAAAATAATGATAATAAATAATAATAATGATATAAAATCAGTTTTATGTACAATTTTGTTGACA